TTCCCTTCCTTCTACCTTCCCTCACCTAACCCCTCCCTCCCCCCCCTCCCCTCACCCTCACAACACGTGTTCGCCACTGTGGTTCATGCCCCTCCCCCCCCTCCCCCCTCCCCCCCCAATGCAGCTGTTTTGTATCAGATTTATTGTATCGTCATTCGAGATTTGGAAAAAAAAAAGGTAATAAATAGAATGAAATTCAAAAGAGAAAAATGATGATGAGAATAAGGTTAGGTGATGATGCTGAGAATGGAAATGATGGTGATGAAAGTGATGATGATGATGAGGAGGAGGAGGAGAATTGTGATGATGATGATGATAAGAAGGAGGAGGAGGAGGAGAAGAATTGTGATGATGATGATGATGATGATAAGGAGGAGAAGGATTGTGACGAGTAGGATGATGGTGATGATGATAATATCAACGCTAATAATAACGATAATGGCAACTGCGACCATTAATGATAACAAAAGAATAAAAAAATAGTATTAAACAAAACTACTATTACTCTGACTTCACATATACTGTATACGTCCCAATAACTGTATTAGAAATATATCCCGCCAATAAAAACAAGATATAGAGACTAGGTGTCCATTTTCTTAGTCAATAAACCCGTATATAGGTGTCTTATTTATTCCCGCGTAAGATATTATAGACGAAGACAATTCCAGTCGGATATAAACTCTATTTTTAGCTCTCTTGTTTGTTTGTGCTGATTTTTTGCTTGTTTGTTTGTTTTTTAAGGTTTTGTTTGTTTAGATTTTAGAGGGAGGGGGAGGGGAAGGAGGGAGGAAGGAGGGAGAGAAAGAGAAAGAGAGAAAGGAGACACAAAATGAGAGAGAAAGAGAGAAAAGAGACATTGAGAAAGACAGAGAGAGAAAGAGAGGAAAGGAGACATGAGAAGGTAGAGAGAAGAGAGAAAAAGAGACAGAAAAAGAGACAGATAGACACAGAAAAGGAGAGAAGAAAAAGAGATAGATACAGAGACAGACACAGAGATTTAAAAAGAAAAGGTGAAGTAAAACGAAAGATAAAAACGTGAAAGGAAAGAGAGAAAATTCATTACTCCTCAAAGATCCCATGTTCTGCATTCTATCACGCGAAATAATGTTTTATATCACTTCAAAATCCTACAAAAATAAGAAAATTTCACGTCCCTGAGTTAAAGTGACAAACAAATGCATAACCGGATACTTACACCTAAACAATTTATCAAATTACTTCAGAGAAAGCGTAAAACTTGCACAAACACACGTCTCCATAATTGGAAAAAAAAGAAACAAACAAACAACTCAATCACACAACTATGTTACACAAAATAATCATAAGAAAGAAGTAAAAAGTATTTAGGAAGAAGGCGCAACGAGAGCGGCGCATGCGCAGTCACGCCCCTTGCGCGGGACGATTTACAAACTTCCCGCCAAAATTGACAACACAGCTGTTTTTGTTGCGGATGTAACGGTTTTTATTTATTTACTTTTTATTGACGATGCAGCATAAGGAGGAAATGATATATGCTTTCGTTTTGTTAATGATGATGTATAGGAAGGCAGTCGTGATATTAATTTTTTTCTTTTCTTTTCTTTACTAACTATACAGCATAAGAAGGAAGCAATATTTTTTTTACTAACAATATGCCATATGAATGAAACAGTGAAATATCCTTTATTTTCATCGACAATTCACTACAAGAGAAAAAAAAACAGTAAAACCTTTTAAATGTCTCGATATAAAAACCAACCCGCCGGAAAAAAAAACAGAAAACAAATTCAGAAAACAAACAAAACAAAACAAAAAAAAAAAAAAAAAAAAAAAAATCGGAAAATATGCACAAACCGAACACCATTTTTACCCGTTTGTTATTGACCGTTTTATCTCGCAAAAAAAAAAGAAATAAACAAACACTAACATTACGTTGACTTAGAGCAAAGGGAAAAGAACATTTTTGAAAAGAACGGGGAAAAGAACAGATTTTCCAGAACAAAAACTCTATTGAATATAAGGAGGAATATGTTAATTTTTGGAGGAAGAGGATTTAGGATGTTATTTATTCAGTTACTCGAGGAGGAAGGAGAGGTAGAGAGAGAGAGAGGAAAGGAGAAGGGAAAGGAGGAGAGGGAGATAGAGAGAGAGGGAAAGGGAGAAAAAATATAGGAAATAGAGGTTTAGATTGGTAGAGAGAGAGAGAGAGAAAGACAAAGACAAAGGACACAAACAAAGATGCAAAAAGAAGGAAGAAGCAGTATAAAACAACAAAATACAAAAAGGCATAAAGGAAAAAGAGAGACCAGAAAAAAAAACGAATAAAAGAAGATGCAAAGCGAGAGAACAGTAAAAAAAAAATAAAAGAGAGACGTAAAGAACGTAAAAAAAAAACGACGTATCAATAATAATAAATAATAAAAAAAAAACATAGACGGAGTTGACAAAAAGAGACGCAAAGAACAGTAAAAAAAAATAAATAAATAAAAAAAGTCTCCCGGCCCCTCCTCCGCGACAGCCCATGAGCCATGACGCCCGACTATGTAGCTGTGCATGCATGACGCCGCCCATGAGGAGGAGCCATCAGGGTGCACCTCCCGCACACCCGTCCCTCTCCCCCCCTCCCCCCCCCCGCTCCCAGCCCATTCCTTCCTACTCTTCCCACTCTCCCATCTCAGGCATGTTATATCCCCCCCCCCCAGCCCATCATCTCAGGTATGTTATACTCCCCCCCCCTTCCTCCTTATAACACTCTAGTCTCAGCATCACTTGCATATACTTCCGGAAGATATCTCTCTCTCTCTATCTATCTCTCTATTATTTCTCTTCCTTTTTCTCTTTCTCTTCTCTCTCTCTTCTCTTTCTCTTTCTCTTTCTCTTTCTCTCTTTTCTCTTTCTCCTCTTTCTCTTCTTCTCTCTCTCTCTCTCTTCTCTTCTCTCTCTCTCTCTCTTCTCCCTCTCCTCTCCTCTCCTCTCCCTCTCTCCCTCTCCTCTCCACCCTCTCCTCGTCCCTCCCCTCCCCCTCTTCCCCCTCCCCCTCTCCCTCCCTCTCTCCTCTCTCTCTCTCCTCTCTCTCTCTCTCTCTAACGGAAGAGATAATTAGCATCAGTGCCATGACAAATGCGGTTCTTGGCACATGCATAAGAAACCGTTTGCCAATACAGGAAATAACGCCAATAAAAAAAAGGGGAAAGCGGTTTAAGTAATGAGATAATAAAAAATAATAGATAAATAAAAAAAGAAATAGGAGACATGCTTGACATACCTGAGTTGCATCATGTGCTCAGAATGTCGCTTGAGCCTCACAAATACCGCCTGATACTTAATTCTAGATGTTGTTCGTAGAATAAATGAATACATATAGATAGTTTAGATAAGGGACATTATTATCTGTGTACTTGTATATTTGTTTATCGGTTTGGTATTCGTTTGTTTTGTTTTTTGTGATTACTCATGTTCTCTCTCTCTCTCTCTCTCTCTCTCTCTCTCTCTCTCTCTCTCTCTCTCTCTCTCTCTCTCTCTCTCTCTCTCTCTCTCTCTCTCTCTCTCTCTAGAAAGGATTTGGAAATTTTAAATACTTTTCTCTCGCTGTTTATCTACAAAACTATGATTTTTTTTATGAATATAGTATTAGACTTAGTTATTCATACAGACATTACTTCTAAATTTAATATTTGTAAGACATATTAAAGATTAAGTTTATCATTATTTTCTAGTTATCTGTTATTTTCTAAGATCTAGTTATCTGTATAACATTATTTTCTAAGATTTTTTATCTGTTTAGACATTAGCTTCTAAGTGTTAGTTATTTGTATAAACATTACTTATGATTTAGTTATTTATATAAACATTATTAAGAGTTATTTATTTGTACAGATATCAGTCTTAGATTTTAAATTTGTCTAGACCTTCCCTTCTAAGATCTAATTATTCGTAAAGACATTAACTTCCATTTTTAATTATTTCTCGAGACATTCCGTTCCCGAGATGAAGTTATTTGCCTCACACAAGTTCCAGTGATAAATAGATGCACACTTATGGCAGTGGTTAAACTTTGGTGCGTGACCCGTTCGAGAAACAGACATTCTTGAGTGTGACATTCCAGCCCGAATTACGTCAGCATTTTATTGATGCGTTTTGTATACATAAGCACGAGTGTGGAGAAGGAGGGGTGGGGGAGGAGGGGAGGAAGGAGGGCGGGAGAGAGAGAGGGGGTGGGTGGAGAGGGAGG